GATAAATGCAATAGCACTTGAGGATAATTGAATCTTTAATTTAAAAACCATAACTTAATAAATTATGACTATATATACTACTACCAATTTATCATCTTTGAAATGTCAATGAAGTGATAATTGAACCATTTGGTGTTGAATTCAAAAACCCAAACAAAATAATATTATGTACGGTGGAAATAAAAAATCGTATTTATTATATAATATTATGTAAGAAAGATGTGCGTTCGTGTGTGATTACTGATTACGTTATAGGAGGATGTGWCTTCATTGAAAATAATAATAATTTGAATACGTACAAGAAACAAAACATTTATTATTGTTGTTTGAAAGGTGATAATAATTTTATTATATCGATCTAAACGTGTCCCCGACAATTAAATTATTAAATTAAATTCTATTCACTCCTTATTAATGAGTTTATTGCTATAGGTAGGTATACATAGTGGAATTATATTTATACACTTAAATATGGAAACTTAACAAATCTAAAATTTTTATTTTAATAATTAAATACATTTACAATATAGATTTGAGMAATAGCATATTTGTAGAAAAATACAGTCAAGTAACAAGGACATATTTAAATAAATCTACACAATCCTATATGCTCAAATAGATAGATAGGTACTCTATAGTCTAAACTTTGAACAGTTATTGGTATCGAAAAAATGTATGGCAAATATAAAAATTTAAATAAAATTATTGCGTCATTAGGAGAACGTTCGATTGTCCGAAAGTTTATAGGTACTATATTTTATGCACCGTTTTTACGAATACAAAATAAGAAAGTAGTACATTAGATGATGCACCCACCTATTATATTAATTTCATGATGTTTATTTAGATTTAAGAAACGTTTTTAATATTATACTATTTAGTCAATAACCATAAATTAAGATTCAGCTGATACATTGACATGGATAACACAGGTCCATTTGCCGAAAAAACGAATCAAATAGTGCTGTATTATAATTGTAATGTTTTGTCGAATGTTTTCACGCGGTCGATCGATGACATGATAGGAGCGGCAAAGAAAGAGACTCGTACACTGGTCTTTATTACATATGTAAAATGTCCTTAGAATTTATCGCTCGGAAGGCTTATAGAGTCTTYGATTTCCCCCTCCCATAATCTACATAATGCTGACACAGTTCTTCACGAAATTCCTATAGATTTAGGATCAAATACTACATCGACCGCAACAGCGTCTTGTAAAAAGGGGTTGTCAGCACTTATTTACTTCGCAAAGGTTAACACTTTAATKACTAATTATCGAATTAATACTAAGACAGTAGGTATGCATAATAAGATTATGAAAAAAAATCGCGAGAAAATGCTGCAATGACGTTTTTGAGTTTGAGACTTTGAGAGGGTGGCAACGATGCATCTGGCGTTATTCCCACCCTCTCTTCGTAARCCACTGACGGTGCATAATTTCGATAGTAACTGCAAATATAATATAATAAAATAAATTATATTATGCAAATTCAGAGCGCTATTATTTTTTATTTTATTCAAACTAAAAMATTAATTTTTTTGTCCGATTGTAGTTGGTCGTTAATTTCCTATTGTCCACAAAAACGAAATTTAGATTTTTTTTTTGAAACACGAAACGACAGTGACGAAATTTCTGTATTTTGTTAAGATGACGTTTTTTTTTTTTATAATTTACAATGGATTCTATTTATTTTATTATAAGACATACCTAATAAAAATATTTTATTAGTCATACAGTTCACTGTAAATGCTTGTAAATAGGTAGGTAGGTAGCAGAGACAATGTACAATTTTAGTGTCGATCTAGGTAAACGCTATTATGTTATACTACCTATAAAAAAGTCGTAAGCCATCTGCGTGGCTCCAAAAGAAACATCGCGTCACTGCAGCAGTATATGGGCGTCGCTATACATATACTTTTACCACCAAACAAAATCGTTTGTCAAACAGTTTGAAGTTGAAAAA